GTCTCAAAATATAAAAAGGGCTGGGGATGAGGGCTGGGATTGTAGTTCAGCGGTAGAGCATTTTCCTAGCATGTGTTAGACCCTGGGTTCGATCCTCAGCAACACATAAAAACAAACAAATAAATAAATAAAATAAAGGTATTGTGTCCAACTACAACTAGAAATAAATATTAAAAAAGAAAGAAAGAAAGAAGGGCTGGGGATGTGGCTCAAGCGGTAGCGCGCTTGCCTGGCATGCGAGCGGCCCAGGTTGGATCCTCAGCACCACATACCAACAAAGATGTTGTGTCCGCCGAGAACTAAAAAATAAATATTAAAAAAATTCTCTCTATCTCTCTCTCTCCTCTCTCACTCTCTCTTTATTAAAAAAAAAAAGAAAGAAAAGGCTGGTGATGTAGCTCGGTGATAAAGTGCCCCTGAAGCCCCAGCACCAAAAAACAAACAAACAAACAAACACAAATTAAGATTCTTAACCCACAATTCTATTCATTTTCTTTTCTTTTTTGGTACCAGGGATTGAACCCAGGGGTGCTTAATCACTAGGCCAAATCCCCAGCCCTTTTTATTTTTTATTTATAGACAGAGTCTCACTGAATTGCTTAGGAACTCACTAAGTTGCTGAGGCTAGCTTTGAACTTGTGATCTTCCTGCCTCAGCCTCCCAAGCCACTGGGATTACAGGCATGTACCACCACACTGGCACATAATTCTACTTCTTATAATTGGTTCTTAAGACGTAATCAAAAGGTGAATAAACAATTGTGAATTGTTATGGTATGGATATGAGGTGTCCTCCCAAAAGCTCTGTGGTAGGCAATGTAGGAATGTTCAGAGGTGAAATGATTAGATCATGAAAACTAACTTCATCAGTAGAGTAATCATTTGATGAATAAATAATTTAAATGGACCACTGAGTGGTAACTATAGGCAGTGGGGTGTGGCTAAAGGAAATAGGTCACTTGGGGTTTGAGACTGTGAGTCCAAAATAACCTTTTTCTCTTCTCAGTTGTTTTTGTTTGATATTTTGGTCAAAGCAAAAGGAAAAACTGATTAACATATGAACAAAGATGTTTATCAGAGTAAAAAAAAAAAACATAAAAAAATAAACCACTTAAAATGTCCTAGTGGGAATAAAATTATTATACACACATATATGTAATTTTATATAGTCATTAGGACTTGAAAATGTTTTAATGACAAGGAAAAATGCTTGCAATATAATAGTAAGCAGAATTATATACAAAATTATATGTGCAGTATGATCACAAAACCACAGATAAGACACTGGAAAGAAATAAACCAAAATGTTAGTAGTACTTCTCTCTGGTAGTAGAATTATGATTAATTTTCTTCGGGTTTTTTTTTTTTTTGGTACCAGGGATTGAACCCAGCAGCACTCACCCACTGAGCCACATGCCCAGCTCTTTTCTTCATTTATTTTGAGATGAGGTCTTGCTAAGTTGCTTAGAGCCTTGTTCAGTTGCTGCGGCTGTCTTTGAATTTGTGACTTTCCTGCCACTAGGATTATATGCATGCATCGCCACACCCAGCTAATTTTCTGCTTTATAATTTTCCGTTATGATTTTTCAAAATTAACACATAATTTTAAAAAATTGCTCCAACTTGCACACTTTTTCTAATAAGCATGATTACTTTATCAAAGAAACAAACACAATGAAAAGGATATTTGAGGGCTGGGGTTGTGGCTCAATGGTAGAGTGCTTGCCTAGCATGTGTGAGGCACTGGGTTCAATTCTCAGCACCACCTATAAATAAATGTATAAAATAAAGGTCCATCAACAACTAAAAACATGTATATGAAAAAATCAATTTAAAAAAAGGATATTTGACTGTGATTTCTCTTTCCCTATGAGATTGTAAGTGGTAAAAGGGATATCTTAATTATATTTGTATTCCCTTTGCCTATCATTCTGTACTCTATAAATGTTAATGAATGAACCTATTTAATATTTTGCCTCATGTTGATGAAGAGACTATCAAGGAGTTTTTCTCTGAAATAAATTTTTAAGAATTCATATGTAATGTTAAGAGTTTCATCATTATGAGCATTCTTCTCCTTAAGTTATAAGCTATAAATAAAGGATGATAGTTTTGGAAAAGCTGAAATTCCAGTGCCCCATCCAGAAGAGGGGGAAAAAAAATGTGTTAATAGAAGGAGAGGTCAGTGGAGTTGAGAAAAGGATAATTAAGTGGTAAAAATGGGTGAAGATATCTCTAGTTCTGTTCAAAAGGGAAAAGTTTTGTCAGTAGATAACATACATATTTGGTTTCTGGATAGTTTCATACCTACTTTTAATATTTGCTTTGAAATTTTCACAGACTATAATAATCTATGATCTAGAATAACATTGTTTAATATGGTAGTCACTAGTCATGTGGCTGTGGAGCAATTGAAATGTGTAGTCTCACGTGAGATGTGCTGAAAATGTAAACTACACCAAAATATTATAACTCTGTATGAAAAAGAGTATATGAAATAACTTATTAATATTTATTTAATATTAATATTGGAATTATAATATTTTTAATACATGGGCTAAATAAAATTCTATTACAATTAGTTTTACCTGTTTCTTTTTTGTAGTTTTAATGATGTTTATAGATCACAGAAAACTACATCTGTGGCTTGTATCTTATTTCTATTGGACATTGCTAACAGAACTTTGAAACCTTTATTTTTACTTACCTCTCTTTTATAGCAGATCCCAATTATCTTCTACCATGGTCTGGTCTTCATATATCAACTCCCTAGCTCTGTCCTTGATAGTAGGGGACTGTCCATTTAAATGTGAAGGAACCTATGCAGGACTGCTTAATTTCCATTCTGACTGGTTAATTTTTTAAAAACTTTGTAACTGAAATACTAGCTTTAATGCACCATACCAGATATGTGTATGTTCATCATCAAAACATCAGAAAATACTGATAGCAAAAAGAACAAAAATCACTCATAAAATCTGCCACCCAAAGATAATCACTACTGATATCTTCACATATACTCTTCCTAAAATGTTCAAACTATAAATACAAAGAGGCACATACATACACATATATTTTTCCAAAATGGGATCAGTGGGCTAGGGCTATAACTCAGCTGGTAGAATGCTTGCCTCGCATGCACAAGGCCCTGGGTTCAATCCCCAGCACTACAAAAAAAAAAAAAAAAGAAAGAAAAAAAAAAAAGGATCATATCATATGATGTTATTTTCTAACAGATAGTCTTTATTTATTTTTTTTTTTAAGTGGTGCTGAGGATCAAACCCAACACCTTGCACATGCTAGGCAAATGCTCTACCACTGAACCACAACCCCAGTCCACAGATATTCTTTTTTATGCAATAAAATACAGAAACATCTTTCCATTTCAATAATATATTTCTCTAATTTTATTTTTCATGTTTTTACTTAAAAAATCATCCCTTTAGAAAATAGGGGCTTGTCTGACCACTCTTTAAAATTAAAATCTAGCTAGGCCCAGTGGCACACACCTATAATCGCAGCTATTCAGAGGCTGAGGCAAGAGGATTGCAAGTCTGAGGACAGACTGGGTAACCTAGTGAGACTCTGTTTCAAAATAAAAAATAAAAAGAATTACGGAGGTAGCTCAATGGTAAAGTGCCTCTGGGTTTAATCTCTAGTATTTTAATTTCTAAATTAATTAAGATTGAAATTTTATTAATTAAAATGTAAAAATATCTACAAACATATTTCCATCATCCTTCAATTATTTTTCTTTATAGAATTGATTTTGTTCATTTTTGATTCCTTCCCTAGAATGTTAGCAACATGCAGGTAGAGATCTGAGTCTGTCTGTTCACTTTACCTCAGTGCCTAGAACTGTGCTTCCCACACAGAAGGTGCTTAAACATTTGCTCTGTGTGAATGAATGATGAATGAAAAAAACAACTGCATAGCACTCTATTATGTTTTCTGGTTGAGTTTTAAAAGTTAATATATTTATATATTTCACCTATGTTCACATTTAAGGCAGTCTTTTAAGTTTTCAAAGGACCTACTATTAAGTGATAACACGACATCTACAGTTAATCCATTTGCTAGAAATTATAACTAAATGTTGCTTGACTTTAACTAAAGTGCCATTTGGAGAAATAGCACTTATGGAGAACTGTCTGAAGGAAACACAATGCATCTGTCCTTTGGATAGACTGAAATTTAACCCTAACTAAATCAGACCATCATAAAGCAGCATATGTGGCTAAACTGTTATGAGCCTGATAGACCTTCTAAATCCCTGTTTGTGTTTCTAGAGGAAATAGTGGTATAGAATTCAACATCATATTTGCTGTTAGGTATTATAAAGAATGGTGTCAACCATATCACCAATTGTGTTCTTGGAAAAGTCACAGAACTTTTTGCTCTTCTTGAGTAACTGATTTTTTTTTTCAAGTTGGATACAATATCTTTATTTTATTTTTATGTGGTGCTGAGGATCGAACCCAGTACCTCACCCATGCTAGGTGAGCACTCTACCACTTGAGCCACAACCCCAGCCCTACTGATTGGTTTTTAAGTCCTAAAAGGAATGTGAACCTCATATTTTTCAGTTTGCTTTGGCTGCCAAGCTGAGAGCCAAATTCATAGCCTGGCTTTTGTATTTGGGAATACTACTTATAGGATGTTCTTCTGTGTATTAATTTTCCTTTTACTTAAATTCACTATAATATTTCAATTTTCCCTTAACCCATACTTAAAAATAATTTTATTTTCTCTTTGTTTTTTCTTTTGTATATTAAAATGTTTCAAAATTATTTGGAACTAGGTAAATATAAAACACACTGCAGCACAGATAGAAGCACTAGCTATCATACCTGATGATATTAAGAATATCTAATTTCCTTTTTCTTAGTGTGTATTCACCAGGCTACTCTCTGATTTTCCTACAGCTTCTTTTGTAGATTTTCCTATGGGGAGAGAGTAGAAAGGCAATACTAGATTCCTCTAAGCAATTATTTCTCACAATTTAACACATAAACCCAAACATCAATTTATTGCACTGGGTTATAGAAAGATCAGAAATTTCCATTTGAAATTTAAAATTAAAATCACGGTTCCTGTCAGAAATGATTTTGATGTGGTCCTAACTAGAGGTACAGAGGGGAATGGACTGAATAATCCTGGAGATTCCATCCAATTAGCAGTTTGCAGTGAAATGGCTGAAACCAAATATCTCTGGGGACTAGACAAGAAAGCAGGAGCTCCATTTCTGATAGATATATTCTAAATCTGAAGTAGGCATCAGTGAGAAAGGATCATTATCACACACTTCTGATTTTGAGGCCAAACAATAGCTGGGGAGTTGATTTTGCATAAAGATTTTAGGGAGGTTTTCTTTGTTTTGATTTTTTGTTTGTGGCAATCCCAAAGTACCATATACCTACACCCTCTTGAAGCTTGGGTTGGGATAGATGGAGTTCTTGGCTTTGGGTACTTGACCAGAATAGGGGTGGGGTGAGGAAGATGGTAGAACAACTCTGATTTTTTTTTTAAATCTCAACAGATTAAACCCTATAACTCTAATTCTTGCCCTTAGCAATATCATGAACAGATGATTGGATCGAGGAATGTTCTGACCCCAGTTATACAGTATAAAGTCACAAAACCCTGTTCAGTCCTTCTCATTAAACTTCTGGGCTTTATTTATTTTTTTAATACGACCATTACATATTACACAAAAATAAAAGTCAAATGAACTTGATATTTATAAATTATTAAATAAAAATACAGGAATATATATTTATATTTATAGAGCTTTTTCTTTTCTTCTAAACTAACCAAATCTGTTCTCCTGCCGTTTTATGATTTAAAAAAGTAAAATAGTGTATGTATGCCCTACAATAAGTGGGGAGTACGATTAATAATCGCAGGACCCAGTTGCCCTACTTCCAGTCCTTCCTTGACCTAAGCAAAGTCCCTATTTGTCCCTTTGGGCTCTGGAGAGCAAGAAACACCCTCTCCACCTATTTAATCTTTGAAAAATGGCCATTACATTTATTTTCCTCATTAAAAAAAAAATAAATGAATTTAAAAACTGGGAGCCATACTCAGCCTTCTTGGCCAAGAGCTAATCCCAAGGAACTATATGGCTCTAGAAGAGAGTCCCTAGTTTTCCCTGACAGAAGAGTCTCTGGGGTTTCCACTGCTCCTCAAACTAAGAAGGGCAAAACAGGTCAAAACTGCCCACTGTGATCTCATCCAAGTTCTGCTTCTGGGAATCCAGACCAAGCCCTTTACCCTTTCATAAAAAAGCCTCTCCTTCCACCCAGGTGTGAAGGCCTCAAAATGGGGCACTTTGGTAACCTGATCATGGTCCCTGCTGCCCCAATTTGCTAAAGCCCCCCAGGAATGCTAACACAGATAAGTATCTTGTGGTAGAGGGTAAAGTGAAAAGTCTGCCCCAAACCTTGGGGAGCACAGGCTCCAATTTGGAGCTGATGGTCTAGTCAGTGGTTTTCCAACTTTTATTTTTCAGCAGCAAAACCCTTAATGCAAATAAAATCTTACCCTGAACCCCGATATGTAAGACAGCTACAAGAGGAGCTGTTCTGTTTGAGGACAAGTTGCCCAGCCTGCTCAGCCCCCATCCCCTTCATCTCCCCAAGGACTCCTGAGGCAACTCCTAGGATACTTTGGGGCTCTGCCAAGCAGTTTGAAAACCACTGGCCTAGTTAGTCCTGAGCAAGTCAGACCCCCCACCCCAACTGCCTGCCATAGACCAGCTCTGAGTTTCTGATATCAGCATACTCAAAACAGACCAAGTGGCATATGCAGTCTACCACCTCCCCCATAGAGACCATTAAAAAGTGCAGCCCTCTCTCAAAAGCAAAAGTCTGGACTAAACACCTGAGGCCAATTTGGTCCCACTTTCTAACAAACACATCCATGTTGCCATATTCTGGGACCAAGTAAAAATCTCCAAGAAGAGTCAACCATGTCTAGCTAAACTGATCAGTGCTCAGGATTATGGGTAGGGTTCTAGAGCACTTTGAATGAAGTCAGCATTGGAGAGCAGCAAATTTTAGCACCTTGGAAAGTGCAGCAGTGAGGTCTGGCTCAGGACATGCATCTGGAGTGAATCATTTCTTCTTTAAAAGAAAAAGCTATAGCCTGAATCTGTTCTAGAGGACTGTGAGTTCTAAAGTTAGCATCCTCAGACTCTGAGGTACAGACAAACAACACCCATGCAAACAGCGTGGCTTCAATGAAATATAAATGCTTCCAGATCGTGGTAGGTACTCTCAAACCCATACACCTGCCCCTAATAAAGCAGCACCAAAGCCCACAACACAGAATAGGCCCAGTCATGGAGTACCTGTCACCCTCACCCCACAAGGCTCAAGCTAGAATGGTCTTTTCAAGGAATCAACAGTCTCACTGAGAAACAGTGTGGGACCCAGACTATATTCTAGATCAGCATTTATGTCTACATCCTCAAAAGGAAAATTGAGCCCCAATTTAGAGTTTCAGTTTGGGTACAGAGGTCCCAGAGCTATTAGGCACCATTGTGCCCCAGTGGGAGGGGAGGGTAGCAGGCATATCCAGCTACTGAAGAAGCCTTCACCTGCCCAGGCTCCAGGGCCCTGCACTTCTGTCAGAGCCCAGGAGGCAGCAGGAAGTTCATGATGCACAGGAAAATGGGTAATGAAGGAACAAGGCCAGCTACAGAATTGCTTTCTCTCCAAAGCCCTACCAACAACTTTCTGCAGAGAAGTGCCAGAGCCCTCCAGAGTCTGGATACAGTGTTTCTCCTTCAGCCTTGAGGCATTTGGACAAGGGGAAGGGAAAAGAGGGTTTGGGAGGAGGGGCAGAGAACTGTCCCTTGTTCTTGCCACTGCAAAAGGGAATGTTTTTCCTTGAAGAATCTGAACCACCTCCAGATTAGACAAACAGCCCAGCATGCACACGAGTACCCGTGCACATGCACACTTGTGTCCAAGCAGCCCACAGCCACAGCCACCTCTCCCAATCACCTGAGAACCCCAAGCTTCCATTCCAAAGGGATATGCCTTCTAGTTCCCCAAAACCCACTTATCCAGGGGAGACACAACTCCTTATGCAAGTCCACCTTCCTCATCGCTGCAAATTCATCTCTGGGTAGTTTCATGTGCCCATACCTATAGGCATGATCCCTCCCACCTCCCCCCAAACCCTGGAATGACTCCATCTCCTGGTCCCCTGACTTTCCTAAAACTCCTTAATAACTGTAGCTCACTCTTCCAATCACCTGCCTAGCACACTTGGCTCCCTCACATGCTACCTCTCCCCTTCCCTGTTCCGTGCCCAACCATTCACTTCACTTCTTGTTCTCTGTTCCTGCTCTCCTGGCCCCCAGCCACACCTAGCCCCACCTGGCCCTGAACTTTCTCACTTGCTAGCAAAAAAGGCCCCTACAGTTACCAGGGCCCCCAGTGCCACGGCCCCCGTCAGCACTGTCCTCACTGATGCCCAGTTCCCCTCCCGCAGACGCCGTGCCTCCTCCAGGGCCCCGTCCCCGTATAGAGCTGTGAACTCCGCCTGTGGGAGAGAAGGGAAGTAGGAGAGAAAGAAGGAGAAAGGGATATCAGGAGAGGAAAGAGTGGAGAGAAGAGGAGAGGAAGAGTTCCAGTTCCATCCACTGCGAGCACTATCCCATACCCAGCTCCTCTCCAGCCAAAGCTTTACCAACTGCAAGCTCTCTGATCCCCCATGTGCAGCCCTATGACACTTGCACTTACTGCCTCATCCTTTCCTTGATGAAAAATTCTGCTTAGAACTGGCATCCTTTGCCAAGGCTTGCCTGACCACCACCCATCCCTGATCCTCCCCACCTCTCATGCCATATAAGTAACACCTTTCTCTGCAGGCACTTCTTGGGTATTGTGTATTCTGTCCTCTGCTTGGGACCATAAGCCCATGCAGTGATAACTGTATGGCAGCCCTGGAGTAGAGTCCAATGTGATGCTCGGTGAGGGAACCTCAGTCTGACTCCACCTAAATAGGGGAATTCAGCCCCATGCCTCCTTCCCAGCACAGCTGTCCCAGCCTCCAATCAGAGCCCCCATATTCCCCCTGGAGAACAGCTTTGCAGAGGGATGTGCAGAGCAGCATTTGAGAAACTTCTTACCCAGCCCCCACTGCTGTGGATCCAGTCAGCCAGCCGCGTCTCCAGGTAGGCCACCATCCACTCCTGCACTTGTCCCACCAGTGGCTCCATCTCTTTGTTGACACTCTCAGCACACAGGGCAGCCCCAAAGACAAAGAAGGCCACAAGACGACCCCAGTTGGGACCCCCTTGGAAAAGTTCGTCAGAGACCTGGGTGAAGCGTTGCTGAGCTGAACCCGGGGTCACATGCAGCTGAGCTGCCAGATCAGAGAAGGTGCGCCGGAAGCGGGTCTCGAACTCATCTCCAGCTGCCCGCATGGCTTGGTGCAGTGGATCAGCTGCTGGGCCCTCCCCAGGGCCAGCTCCACAGACGTAACCCTTCTGCCTCAGCTTATAGCCTACAAAGTCGGCCACCAGAGCCCGTGTGTCTGGGGCCGAGGCTGGGGTCGCCATCCGGGCAGCTGTAAGGGGCAAGGATGAAAGACTGGCATGAATACATGAAATATAGAGAGGACCAGAAGGGGTGTTTTTGGTTTGTCCAACTCAGTAAGATGAGGTGGGGGAGGAGGTATGATCAGAGACCCCTGGGCACCAAAGAGCAAGAAACAAGGGATTTAAATTATGTCATAGGGCCAGGGCATTAGGGGATGGACACTGAATTTGTTATATGCCAAATTAAATGTAAAACAAGGAAATTTTATTTTTAGAATAGATTCTTTGCATAAGATAACACTAGCTCTATAACATCCCAACAGCTCCCTCCCACCCCCACCATAGTATACACCTTTTTGGCTACAGGAAGGGACTTAAACCTACCCAGAATCAAGATGTGAAGATGTTGGCAGAGACACAAGATGGGAGGAGATAAGGGCTGAAAAAATATGGGAGAAGCCAAAGAGTGCTGGGACAGAGAAAGGCAAGGGACACTCACCCAGCCTGGATGGCAGCTCTTAGGACCCAGCGCTGGTGGCAAGGAGCCCCCAGCTGGGGCCTTTCATCCTCCCGGCCAGCGTGGAGCCCTGAAAAAGGGTGAAAGAGATCAGAAATATGCAGGGAAGGCCAGGGATCAAGATCTGGCCTGAGAAGGGCTGGGGTTGCAGCTCCTGGGACCCGGTCCCTGCCCCCAACGCTCTACCAGCTGTGTGGCTGAATCCATGTTTAATGACTGTCCTCCCGGAAAACCCAGGGCCAAGGGCTTCCTGCCGGCACCATCTCTACTCTCGGCTCCCCCCAGTGCAGCCCAAAGGCTCAGCTCCTACCTTACCCCCACCTTCAACTGGTCTCCAACCCCGCCCGCCTGCCAGGTTAGGGATCTCACGGGTCAGGCCGCTGCTGGGATCCGGGCCGTTTCCTGGTGCAGGAGCTGGGAGGGAAGGAGAGAGGGAGGAAGGGAGGGAAGGAAGGAGGGAGGAGAAGGGGGGGCAGGAGGGAGGGCCTGGCGCCGGGTGATGATGGGGCCCAGAGATGCGTCCAGAGAGAGGGGCGGGGCCGCACACAGGCCTGGGAAGGCCACAACTCTGAAAGAGAAGGCCATTGAAGGCAGAGACACCATGGGCTGGACTGAGCTGAGCTGCTAAGCCTTGAGACTGCCCAGAGAAACACCCTGGACCTCAGAACATCGTGGTACAAATTCAGCATTTTTAGAAGGTCTCTGATATTCCATGCACTTGTTGAATTGTTCCAGCCCTAGATTATATGCCTTAAAAAGAGGAGCAGTTCTCATTATACTGGAAACGTCCTGCCAGGTGCCTTGTCCTTATGGGACTAGCAAATACCACAAGGATACCAAAACTTTCCAATCCCTTTTTCCCCAGGGCCTTTAATCTGGTGGTCTCTTCTAGGGCTGAGGCTTTAATCAGGCATCAGGCAGGCAGTACTTTAATTCCAAGCAGGTTCTAAAGGTACTTTTCTTCATCTTCTTTTGTTATCACTTTTAATCTTTTTTTTTTTTAATCCAGCACATGGACTCATTCTCATGGGGAAAAAAAAAAAATCAAACAACAGAGAGACAGAGAGTAATCAAATACAAGTACTCAGCTATACACACACACATGTACCTGTCCAATTCCACCTCCCTCACTGTAGGTTGCCAATGATAAGGTTAATGTTTATCTTTCTAGATTACATATATGTATATTATTTATAAATGGCAATACATTTATAAAGGGCAGTTCACAAGATATGAAGCAATTTCACCACAAATGATCTACATGAGGGTGCTCACAAGCATTTGACTCCAAGGCCACTCAGGGCTCTTGGAGTTGACAATTCCACAACTCCATTTGGAGAGAGCCCCAGCTAAAGTGGCAGTCCAATTCTACTTTCCTTTGGTTCTTTTCCATTTATTCTTTTTTTTTTAATTTTTAATATTTATTTTTTAATTCTTGGCGGACACAACATCTTTGTTGGTATGTGGTGCTGAGGATCGAACCCGGGCGGCATGCATGCCAGGCGAGCACGCTACCGCTTGAGCCACATCCCCAGCCCTCCATTTATTCTTACAGAATCCATACCCTTTGCATCTACCTCCAATCCAATCCTTGATGCTCTCACCTGTTCTTACGGTCAAGAGAGAAGCAAAGTCCTCTGTATAACAATAATAGTAACTAACATAAGGGCTTACCAGGTGCTCAGTGCTTTCTTTATATGTGTAATAGTTTATTCTAATCAGGTGCTGTGATACATGCTTGTGATCCCAGCTACTTGGGAGGCTAAGGCAGGAAGACTGCAATTTCAAGGGAAAGCCTGGGCAATTTAAGTGAGATCCTGTCTCAAAATTAAAAAAAAAAAAAAAAGGTTGGAGATATAGCTCTATGGTACACTGCTTGTAGGCTCTAGGTTCAATGCCCAGGAGCACAAAAATAAATAAATAAAATAAAAATTATCTTCACATCAACCCTTATGCTATTTTATCCTTTCTACAGATGAGGAAATTGAGGCTTGGAAAGGTTGAGTAATTTGCCCAAAGCCATATACTAATAAGGAAAGAAACTGCCACTTAACCTAAATCTGCCTGACCTCAAGATCATCTCTTCCCTTTCAAGTAGTCAATGTTATTCTGACAGAATCCACACTATTTACAAGACCACACTCAATTCTCTTTGTTTTTCCTTTTGTGGAGGCTAGCCTAAGGCTTGCAGTCCTTCTGCTTCAACCACTCAAATAGCTAGGATTAGTGGTATGCACTACCATGGCTGGTACCACACTTAATTCACTATTCCATTCTGAAAGTACAACCAAATCCACTTCTTTATAGCTTTCTCTTTCAACCATGCTCCTTTCTTCTTTGCTCTTGAGCTGATTCTTCTAGCTGCCACCAGGAAGACTGCCCACTTCTTTTCAGGCTAACCTAGTTAAGTCCTCTATTTGCAATCCTGGTTTCTTCTAAGACATTTACTTGTAATAAATCACCAGTTTTTAATTTCAAGTAAATGTCTTAAGTGTCCAAATATATTTGCCTTTTTATTTATAAGCTCCTCAAGAGCTAGAACTACTGACGTTTATTCACTTTTGTGTCCTTGTGGCCAAATAGGCCTCCAGTAAACGTTGACTGAATGAATCAATTGACACTTCTGGCCAGTTATTGAATAGTCCCAGCCAGACATTTGAAGATTGCTGCAGTAGCTGCATAAGAAAGAAAAACTGAGCAGGACACAGTGATGCATGCCTATAATCCTATCCACTTGGGAGTAGGAGGCAGGAGATTTCACAAGTTGGAGATCAGCCTTGGCAACTCAGAGAGAACCTGTCTTAAAATAAAATAAAAAGGTCTGGGGATGTAAGCTCAGTGATAGAGCACTTGCCTACTAGTACAAGGTTCTGGATTCAGTCCACAGTACAACACACACAAAGAAAGAAAGGAAAGAAGGAAAAAGATATTTGATTTAGAATAAAGATTCAGTGTCAGTCTGAGCTACCAGCAAAACAGAGCTATAACTTATACCGGTCCAAAGCTATGTATCTCAAGTATCTTCTCAGATCAACACTGCAGAGCCAAGGTATAGCACAAAGCAACAAAGCCTTTGCCAGAAAACCTGAGGTCACAAAGGCTGACTTTCATCTATTTTACTTCAATGACACATTGTTTTACCAAAGCAAGGAAAATCCTTTTACACTGTTTGACTGTAACCTTAATTAGCGTATGATTATTTTACATCATAAGATATGAAGAAAATATGTTCACAGATTTAATATGTATGTGTAAAATAAGAATATAAAACTCAATATGGTTTTAAAAACAAGTTCTGACTAAATAGCATTACTATGGTTGATACTGGTGTGAAAATGCAACAGGCAAGAATTGTAGATAGTAAGATAGCATGTTTCATTGTTTATTTCCAACCTAGGGATTTTAATTTTTCAAACTACCTGCTGTTCTAAATTTAGATATTTTATCTCCACTCTAACATTTCCTATTTTAATATTCTAAAGATGTTAACATTATCATTAAATGTTTCAATTTTGTATAACAAAATGGAAAGAAAGTGAATTCTAGAAATGGACTGCTGAGGTTCCAATTCCAGATCCCCAATTATTAACTCTGTGTCCTTGGGCAAGGGTCCTAACCCTTCTCTCCCTTGATAAAATTACCTGTAAAATAGGTCTAATAGTACTCCCTACTCCTATGATGATTGTATTTTTAAGTTAATATTTGTAAAACTCTCAAAACAGCACATAGCACATCGTGCTACATAAGATCAGTAGGGAAGTTAGAAAAAAAAAATAGAAACACTTCACATGTTTTTTTCACTAACATAGGGGAGAATAAAAGGAGAAAAAGCCAATCCTACAACCTTCAGTCCAGTGAGCTCCCACTGGAACTAGAACCCTACAGTCCCAGCTCCAAGAGTTATTCTGTGCTCACTCATTCAATACTTTGAAGTCTTACCATGTACTAAACTGATCATAAATCATATAGGTGTCTCCTCAAAGAGTTTTACAGTTGGGTTAGAGATCAGAACACTAAGCTAAGTGTGGTGGTGTAAGCCTGTAATCCTAGTGACTTGGCTGAGACAGGAGGATCATAAGTTTGAGACCAGCCTCAGTAATTTAGTAAGGCCCTCAGCAACTTAATGAGACCCTGTCTCAAAATTAAAAATGGCTCGACTAGGTTGAAACCTTAGTATCAAAACAAATTTTAAAAAATCAGAATTTTAACCCACTTTTTCAGAGGTGAGAAAACAGAGATTCAGAGAAGTTGTGTCTTGCTCAAGGTCACAAAGCTAAACAGTCCCAGACCTGGGACTAGGCTGTAGGTTTTTCCCACTGCTCAGTTCCAGCCTCTTTCCACTGGACCGTGTTCAACCACCAATCCTTTTGAGTGAAATGTCATACCCTCTATTTGAAATTCTATCTAGTGTTCATGATTTTCCCTCCTTTGCACCTACTGTTACCCCCCTTCCACGCCTAGGCAAAAGAAAAAAAAAAAGTGAGACCTGAAGACAGTCACACTCTGGGTGTTTTGAACCTTCAAAATAATGAAAGGTTACCTTTCCGTTCCTGTATTAACCCTTTCCGTGCCAGAAAGGTTGAGAATTTTTTTTTTTTTAAGGGGCTTGGTGGCTTCACTTGGGATCAAAAGGATGGAGTCCCCGCCCCCTGGTGCAGCAGTTAAGACTGATACCAAGCCACCTGTCAGAGGGTTGGGGGCGGGGGCGGGGTCCGGGACTCAGGCCCGCAGAACCCAAGGGTGAGCGTCGTGGAGCGCACGCTCAGAGCACACAGCTCATAGGAGGAAGGATGTGATAGTCCAAAACCCCGGGAGCTGACGGTCAGAGAGAGGGAAAGGTGGTTACGGAGACCATGCAGAGCAACGGGAGGTGGAGGATCCCGGAGGTGACAGCAAGGAGAGTACGCAACGGCTAGGGGATTCTGAAGTGGGCCCAGGTGACTTCTGTGAGGACGCAGGGCAAGCGGGCAAAAGGAAGGGAAGGCAGCCCCAGGGTGCTGCAGACCAGCCCCGCTAGTGCGGGAGATAACATGTCCGGCGAGCGGCCCCCCCGCACCGACATACCCCGCAACCTGAGCTTTATAGCTGCGCTGACCGAGCGCGCCTACTACCGCAGCCAGCGGCCCAGCCTCGAGGAGGAGCCGGAGGAGGAGCCAGCCGAGGGCGGGACGCGTCTGGGGGCCCGATCCCGCGCTCACGCTCCGAGTCGGGGTCGCCGGGCCCGTTCCGCACCCGCCGGAGGCGGCGGGGCCCGGGCACCCCGCAGCCGAAGCCCGGACACCCGCAAGAGAGTGCGTTTCGCTGACGCGCTGGGGCTGGAGCTGGCCGCGGTGCGCCGCTTCCGCCCCGGAGAGCTGCCCCGGGTACCCCGCCACGTGCAGATCCAGCTGCAAAGAGACGCCCTCCGCCACTTCGCGCCTTGTCAGCCGCGCTCCCGAAGCCTCCAGGTAGGCGGCCGGGGCACGCCCCCACTCCCTGGGACCTGTCCCTATCGGCCGCGGCGGTCGTACGAGAGTGGATTTGTCAAGGAACGCCCACCCATCCCCAACCACGGGCTTGCGCCTGTTTAGCCCTTTTGAGGTCCATTCGCTTAGGACTCTAGGCCACTCTTCAGCTGGGCCCCACTCTGCTGTCCCGGACGTCGCGTCGGCCTCTGATTGGTCCAGTGTCCCGCTCTGACCCCGCCTCCTTCTCTTCCCACTCCCCGCCCCGTGCTCCTTCCTCCCCGTCCTTTTTTTCCAGCCCCCACAGGAGGCGCGCGCAGCCCTAGAGCCGGCCAGCGAGCCCGGCTTCGCCGCCCGCTTACAGGCGCAGCGCATCTGCTTGGAACGCGCCGAGGCGGGACCACTGGGCGTGGCTGGGAGCGCGCGCGTGCTGGACCTGGCCTACGAGAAGCGCGTTAGCGTGCGCTGGAGCGCCGACGGCTGGAGAAGCCAGCGCGAAGCGCCCGCCGCCTACGCCGGCCCGGCCCCGCCCCCTCCGCGAGCCGATCGTTTCGCCTTCCGTCTTCCAGCGCCGCCCATTGGGGGCGCCCTGCTCTTCGCCCTACGCTACCGTGTGACGGGTCGCGAGTTCTGGGACAACAACGGCGGCCGTGACTATGCTCTGCGTGGGCCCGAGCATCCGGGCAGTGGCGGAGTCCCGGAGCCCCAGGGCTGGATCCACTTTATTTAAGACAAGACGTCCGCAGCCCATGGCAGAAAAAAACTAAGGCACGGGGGGGGGGGGCAGGGGAAAACCAATGTGGTGGGAGAAGTGGGAGAAACTTAGATTGACCGGGAGAGGTCCCAGTCAGGTGGGGGAGGGCGAGGAAGGTGGGAGAAATCAACAAGGTTTGGGGAACTCGAGGTGGAAAATGCTGGCTGGATGTGAGTGAAAAGAACCCAAGCCAAGGGAGAAAGGAAACCAGAAAGGACGCTGGAGGGATTAGAAGAAAGCTAAAGAAGGGGGATGATGGTAGCCTCTTTGCTGAATGGTCACTGGGAGAGAGTGAGTTGCAGGCCTAGGCATCAAATGTTAGGAAAGTCTTTGGATTTGAGGAGGCATTATGGATTGAGGAGGTGTGACATGTGAAATAATCCGTCCCATTTGAAGTCAAGGGATTGCTGGTTTATTTCCGTTTTTCGGTTTTTGCCACCTTAGGTCCCTCAATTTGCCCATCCTAGTTTTATCTCAGCCATAATTGCCTTGCTTAATCCTAGGAACTTGGCCATTGCTCCTTCTGGACCCTGGCATGACAGGATTCCCTTATCACCCGACAGTTCCTCCCTAAAATTTTCATGTATTGGCTGGGGAATGATGACAGGTAGAACTATTTTCTCCGTCCTCCAGGCAAATTCCGGATTATAATCGAGGCAAAAGCAACCCCAAGCCTGTCCTTGTAGCCCAATAATGGGAACCTAAGGTGTTGATTTACTCAGGGGCTTCCAGAAAAATGTCAGCCTTATATTTCTGGGTACCTTTTAATAACCTCTAAGCACTTTATGGACTGTTGTCAAGGAACAGTGAATCACTATTCTGATTTGTTGCTTCTGGTTTAGAAGAAAAAGAAGTCACTGACTGGCTGTACAACTTTAAGCAAGTTGTACTTCTTTGGGCCCCACTTTGCTTCTTGGGAAATTGGATTTGGTTTATGTAGTTATTCTACAGCTCCATTTTGTTTGACATTTTATCATCTGCATTGTATAGTGTAGATTAGAAGCCACATTTTTCAACCTTTTACTATAGTTCAGGAGACAAAGCCCTGAGCTTATGGTTGTGGCTGAGGAGGAGTCCTCCAGTTTGGGGCAAGAATGTTTCAGAACCCAGAAAGTATTCCACAATCACCCCAAAGTGTCTTTCCAACCATGGCACATCTACTGCCCCTTGCTTTTTGCTCTTGCCTCCAGAGATTTCCAGCCTGGATGCTCTGAGACAGCTTTGGGGAGGTATATCCGAGTTGGGGATATGATTGAGAGCCCCCAATTGAAAGGAAAGAATGCCAGGATCTCTCTTGAGAATAAAGAATGGAAAACATCAAGAATGAGAGCAACTTGACAAATGACACCAGAAGATGGCAGTCTTATCCATATTCTGAGCCAGTGAAATGGGAAAGTTGACTCTTCTACCCATTCCCATTCATGTCTCTCTTGGTTAACCTTAACATGGGAGTTATTTCTTTCCTGGTTGCTTAGTTTCCTTTCCTCTTACCCTATACCTAACCTCTTTGCTTTTTGCTTTTTTTCTTGTTCCTCTCCCTTTTCATCACTTTTTTTTTTCTTTGAACATGTGAAGTATTTACTTTTATTCTAGGTCATTTACCTATATTTTCTCCCTTTCCCTCTTCATTCTTAGTTGATCTCTGCTATTCCTTCTTCCTCCAGAAGGGGTAGAGAGTCTACTTCCTTTTCTCCAAGACCATGGTTGATCCACCTTCCTCCCTCAGGCTCCTTCTTGACAGTCTTCTAAAGGGAGAAAAGGGGAAAGAAGCAGTTCCTGTTGTTACAGATGAACAAGGAGCCTTAAGGTAACCAGCTTCCCACATCCTTTTTCATTACTAATTTCTCAAAAACTTCTGTTTCCCCTTATTCTGT